CTTTCCCTCTTTCTCCGCCATTTCTCTGTCTTCCGGGCTTCTCGATCGGCAGGGGGATTAGGAAACACGGTATTCTTCGACATTCTTTCTCGATTTTATTTTCGGGGCTCGGGCGAGGGACGATCGGTAACGCGAAAAAACGTGATCCTCCGTCGAAACTTTACAGACGTGTAATTCAGCGTATTTACTTATTCTCTATATAAACTATTAAACAGTGTGTACGCGCGTGTGTGTGTGTGTGTGTGTGTGTGTGTGCGCGCGCGCGTGTGTACCGTGTATACCGTGTGTCGAAAATCGTTCACGAATACGTCGCAATCGGATCTTGATCGTTCATCGTGTCGCTCTTTCGTTTCTCTCGCTTCCTCCTCTCTCTTTCTCTCTCTCTCTCTCTCTTATCAAACATTTAATTCATATATAATATATCTATATTATATATCTATATATATATATATATATATACTTTACAAACAGGAAACGATTAGACGCTAGGGCCCCACGAGTGGCCCGAAAATCGCCGGGTATCCCTTTTAAAGCTGAGAATGGACCGGACAATGGGCATACTTTTTCGCGAGAGGCTCCCTCCTCGTTAATCGTTAGAAAAGCTCCCTTCCTCCTCTGCCCCCGCGAATGCTTCCGCGAGGCGGCACGATCGCGAAACGGAAGCGGCTGAATCTTCGAAAAGGGATACCCGGTGTGGGACGCGCGCACGCGATTGCGTACGATCGCCTTTCACTTCACTCCTATTCCCCCATCTTTTTTCATTTTTCGTTTCTTTTCTTTTAAATGGCTTAAGGATGCACTTCTTTGTAAAATACAGTAATATCCCGCGCGCGTTTCTACTACCGTAAGTATATCCGTTTAGAGATTTGTTCTTCGTAATTCTTCGTCTTCCCTCTCTCTTACTCTTTTTTTTTTCTTTTTCTTTTTCTTTTGTTTCTCTTTGTTCTCCGTTAAATTTATACAATAAAATATCACAGTTCTGTTCGTACCACGCAATATAATCAATATATCGTTCTCCTCGTGAGAGTCTCTCTCGATCCTTCTTCATTCTCTCGCGCCACTTCGCTCCTCTCTCTCTCTCTCTCTCTCTCTTCTCTTCCCTTCCTCTCTTACATCTTCATTTACACCGTCGTTTATTTTATTACTCACTCGTACGCACATGCACACACACGCGTGTTTCCACTCTCGCGAACCCCCTTTTTTCTTCTTCTCCTCGCCGCCCCCCTGCCCCCCTCTGCCCCCTCTCGCGCTCTCGCCTGCGAAATTGACGATTATGTAACAAGTAATTTCGTAGAAACGCTTTTAAGTCGATTTCAGCCGCTTTAACCCTGAAGAACTACGAGAATGCATGAAGGAGATGGTGGAATGGAAACAATTACGATAAAATATTACCTTTATTACATGGTTTGGTAGTCGCTAAGTAACGGGGCAATCGAAAGGAATCGGACGATTCGCGGAGAAGCAAGGTTCCTCGTTGTCGCTTCACGACTATCACCCAATTTTTCACCCCCGCCAGTCGATCGAGAAACATTCCGCAATTCTCCATCCAGTTAAGTCTCTAACGATTCGATTAAAGGTAAAACAAAGTACAGGCAGTCTTTCCAATTTTCGTTTTTCAGTCGAGAAATCATTATCACAATCGAGAGGATCACTCGTTAAGCCGCGTTGCGAATTCCGCGTTTAACCGACGATACATTTCGCGAAGAAAATACCGCGATGCCGGACGGAAACTATCACGTTTCCACCTGGCGAAAGAAATTTCGTAGAGACGCGTGCTCACGGTAAACAACACGGGAACGCCGAAGACCGAGGGAATTCGCGTTTCAGGGTTAAAGGATCCGGCGCGGAGCCATAAACTCATTCTCAT